TGTGAGGCCTACATTCTCTTCGTTCTGACACCAAGAGAAGTTCAGCAATATGTTGGTTCTCCAGGTAGCCCAGGAACTATGAGGAGAACATTTTACATTCATGGTTTAAGCTCTGAAGGGCTTTATTTGAAGCATTTGTGTTGGTAATTTTATTTTCTTTAGTCTCCGGGCCACACGCCAGTGGTGCTCAGCGCTAATTCCTGGCTTTGCACTCAGGGATCACTCCTGGCAAGCTTAGAGGCCCATATGAGGTGCTGGGGATCAAACTCAGGTCAGACACGTGCCAGGCAAACCCCTTACTTGCTGTACTATTTCTCTGACCCCACAAATTTTCTTAAAATAGTGTAGTCCATTCTCTTTTGTTAACATTTTGTTGTGAAGAATATCAAACAACAATAAGAAGTTTACCAATTAGTATTAAGAGCTTTTTACATACTCATCTCTGGGTTTCAACAATTGCTACCTCATGGATAATTTAAAAATACTTCTGAATTATTAAATTATTTAAAATATTTCCATTAATTTACAATATTATGGAATCAGAGGGTAGTTTCTTCTTTATCTGCTCATCTCCTATACCAAAGTTCTTGTGTCAGAGCTAACCCGATCTCCTTTACACCTTCTTTCAGGACCTTTTTTTCTGCCAAGGGCCATTTCAATATACATAGCATTATTTATGGGCCAAAACAATACAGACAGATGGAACCCAGGCAGCCATCAAAAAGCAGATTGTCTGTTTTATCACTAACCAGAGTCAGATCACATGAGTCATAGGCCCTCCTGCCCTATCTCTGATCTCGGGTGTCTTAAACAGTGAGTCATGAATCCACTGAATATGGGAGTGGTGAAAAATTTGGCCATAGTTAAAGGTCTCTGAATGTCCAATGACCGAAATTTAATTAAAAATCAACTGCTTAATGAATCTGATCGGTTTCTGGTGGCACTGTTGCATTTCTTAGTCCACATTGCCTGCCTCTCTCCCTCCCTCCCTCTCTCCCTCCCTCCCTCCCTCCCTCCCTCCCTCCCTCCCTTCCTTCCTTCCTTTCCTTCTTCTTTCCTTCCTTCCATTTTTATTTTTGATTTTGGGACCAATCAAGGTTTACTATTGGATCTTCACTTAGAGATCACTCCTGGCAGGGCTCAGGTCACAATATAGGATGTCCAGGTTGGCTGCATGCAAGGCAAGTGTCCTACCTGCTATACTATTGTTCCGGTCTCCACACACTGTGTTGCATCCTGGGGGCAAAAAGGGATCACAAGTGAAATAAGTTTTAAAAGCCCTGTTCTAGATGAAAATTAGACAAATCACAACTGGTGGGGTAGTTCCATGTTTAAAAATCAAACTCTATTAGAACACAGTCACTTCTATTCAACAGTAGGGCTGCAATCACATAGCCCTTGACCAAAAAAAGTTTGCCTACTTATTCATGATCTCCCCCCACCAAAACCTCCTCCCATGTGTTATTTTCAGACAAATCATAGACTTTATGTCACTTAACCTGTAAATACTTTAGTATGTACCTTTGTTTATTTATTTATTTATTTTTGCTTTTTGGGTCATACCCGGACCATATGGGATGTTGGGAATCAAACCTGGGTCAGTCACGTGCAAGGCAAACGTCCTACCCGCTGTGCTATTGCTCCAGCCCCTAGTATGTACCTTTAATTGAAATTCTTAATCATAATCACAGAACCATTGTCATATCTAAAAATAATGCTTAGGTTTGTTTTTTAAAATATAAAATAACTATTTTTTAGCAGGGCTGGAGCGATAGCACAGCGGTAGGGCGTTTGCCTTACAAGCGGCCAACATGGCTGACCCGAGTTTGATTCCTCCGCCCCTCTTGGAGAGCTCGGCAAGCTAGCAAGAGTATCTCGCCCGCGTGGCAGAGCCTGGCAAGCTACCCGTGTTGTATTCGATATGCCAAACACAGTAACAACAAAGTCTCCAATGGAGACGTTACTGGGCCCGCTTGAGCAAATCGATGAACAATGGGAGGACCGCGATCCATGATCCGTGATATTTTAGCAGATTATCTGTGCATATTATAATACTATGCATATTAAAATGCTATACATATTGAAATGGCCCTTGGCAGAAAAAAAGGTCCTGGAAGAAGGTGTAGAGGAGATCAGATTGATCCTGACACAAGTGCTGAAATTTCCAATCATCTCCTTTTTCTTTTGTTCTTTTTGGGTCACACCCGGCAATGCACAGGGGTTACTCCTGGATCTGTGCTCAGGAATTAGCCCTGGAGGTGCTCAGGGGACCATATGGGATGCTGGGAATTGAACCCGGGTTGTACATGTGCAAGGCAAACGTCCTACCCGCTGTGCTATTGCTCCAACCCCTCCTTATTTTCTTAACTGCAAATACTTCCAGTGTTCCTCAGAATTGACTCAGTGTTCAAGCATCACATCCTCACTCTATTCTTTAGAGATTAAAGGAGGGCAATTCAAGAGTTTTTCAGATGTCACAGACCAATACTAGTTCTACAGTTATAGCAACATAGCTCATTGATCTTTGTTCCAGAAATGAATGACCCAGTTAAGGTAGAAGCACACCCTGGATCCTCTACTTTGACAATTTCAAGTCATTTCTTTGATTGAGGTTAGGTTTTAGTGTGAGAAAGGTCAGAGGATGTGTTTCTGAGGAGATAGTATCTGTCCTCTTTGCTCATACAGCACGCAGTATGCTCATACCATCTATAGCTACCCTCCTTCATAAATTATTAGAAAGGAATCATAATAGCTTGGGAACCACACAACCTGAGACAGTAAACCTATTTCCCTGGGCTTCACTACCCTAAAAGGAGAGAGCAACACTTTCTGTGGAACAGGAAGGGGAGGGGTCAGACAGATCACATCTGTTGAATGTTGCCTACTGCTTTGCCGGTGAGGATGTCAGACAGTATTATTCAACATCCCTCCTTGCTCATAACAAGAGCCCAGAGGTGGTATAAAAACTGTAACTAGAAGCTTTAGTCACTGCTGACTTTTAGTTTTAGAGATGAGGCAAAAATGTGGGTTCATGCCATTGTTATTCAATATAACAACTAGAAGTCCAAGAATATGGAGGATGTGGGGACATCATGGTGACTAATAGCTAGTCTATGCAAGCATCCAGGCAATAATCATTCTTTGGTAAGTAATTGGGACATCTCAAAGGAGAGCGTGGAGAAGGTTCACATTATGGTTTTGTGGAAGAACCAGTCAACAGTGTGTCCTTCTCTCTACTGGTGCTTAGCAATCTGGAGACAGGATATAGAAAAGAAGGCAGCTGTGTGGATCAAGGCTGAGGTTCTGTGTAGTGTATAAATTAGAGGGTTACAAGGCCTTTAGTGGTAATGATGGGATGACCTTGGTGCCCAGGCTATGTTTTATTAGAGAGTAGTATCTAGAGGTGGGGAGAAAATAGAGATATCAGATACATCAGAGAGCTTGATATGGAGTTTAAGAATTCAATGGTAAAGATCAAATTCAAAGGAATTAGCATGGTTTAGTGACTAAAGAAGAGGTTATGGGAACCAGAAGGGAGGCAGTTCAATAACTGTGGGGCTAGAAGAGAAGATGGGTGGGTTGCAAAGACATTACTGTGTTGGTTGATGAAAATTAATCCTAGAAAGGATTAATCATCTAAGGAACAGTAACTTTTCCATGAAAGCAAATAAATATGGTTTTTCTTTTGCTTTTTGGGTCACACCCAGCGATTCACATAGGTTACTCCTGACTCTGCATTCAGGAATTACCCCTGGAGGTGCTCAAGGGGACCATATGAGATGCTGGGAATTGAACCCAGGTTGGCCATGTGCAATGCAAATGCTCTACTTGCTGTGCTATTGCTCCAGCCCCAGAAATAAATTTTTGGTGTCTTAAAATATTTTATTTTCTCTTAAAATTCCATGGGCTGATTTTCTTTAGCTGGACAGTTATTCATCTAGTCTTACTCTATTTGTGGTGTGTGTGTATGTGTGTGTTGTATAGTGATCAGTTATCATACCAGATACTTTGTATGGCAATATTAGTTCAGACTAAAAGGAAAAAAATGTGCTTCCCCCCCAAAAAAATGTGCTTCCACACAACATCTTAAAATATTGTTGGCATCATTTGTATCAAAGAGAATGCTGTTGAAGGAGGATTCCTAAGAGTTTCAGCATCAAAGGTATTTCTGAGACTAAATGTTTTCAAGATGAATCAATGAACCATGTTCTATCTTTTCTTCCTCCTACAGTTCCAAGTCTTAGGAAGAAGTGGGCAAATATCAAGGGAGCCTTCTGTTTGGGAGCTATCTGGGACCTGTTTCTAACTACAAATCTTAAAACAGGATAGACTCTTATCCTTGGGAACTACACTTAGAATTCGTTCCCACACAAAATTATTCTTGAATTTGGAATAAAAGAGAAATAGAAAAGAAGTTATGATCTTTTTCTGAGTTCCCCTATTTGGATAATTTAGTTGTAGACCATTCTCTGAGGTCTTGAAATAAAAATCACTAGCTAATTTGCATCAAAATTATAAGGCCGGATAAGTCAACAATACATTCCAATAATAGAAAGTGATTTTAATATTTTCCTTTAGTGCTAGGGATCAAATCAAAGACCTCATACATGCTAGCAATGTGTACTACCTTAAATTCTAAAAGAACTTTCTAAGACTAAGAGACTTTTGCACACATAGAGAAAAGAAAAAAACACAGAACAAATAATCATACACATAATTAAACACAGAATCAACAACGCAATCTTACTTAGAAAAATTTAAGCCATGATACTGAGTATTTAGAATTTTTTAACAAGAAATTTAAATATACAAACTTGGCTCTAAAAGGTCAGGCTAAGCCATTCAGCTAGAGGTGTCATGTTTTCTCAGATGTGTCATAAAAATCAAGCAGTAAAACATTTCTTTCTTTCTTTCTTTCTTTCTTTCTTTCTTTCTTTCTGTAGAAATGTTATATAGAATAGTGATTAATACAGACAAATCACATGCGGGGGGAAGTTGAACTGACATTTCCATGTTTTATAAATTCAGAAACATATAAGGAGATAAAACAGTGCTGTATTGAAAGCAAACAGAGATGCATCTTCTAGAAGAAAGACAACTTACAATAACATTTTTGTTCATACATAATAACTTTTAGTTTGTATATCTAAATGGGGGGCTCTATGATATCAAACTATAAGAACAACAGGAGTGGGATAAAAAAAAAACCCCAAACACAGAGCTACCGAGGACAAAGGCAATATTTAAGCATGAGCAGAGAAGAAGCCGTCTGGACAGAAGCCTGAAAGCAGCAAGACGCCATCCACTGCAATCTCTCCGGTTTTGCCCTTGCCGCGTTCTGCTTCAAAAATGATCTGATAATGGAGAGGGAATAAAATATTTACTTCCAAAGATTCAAAGCAATGACATAACCAAGCTGTTTAATAACAACGAAAGGACCAAGCTCACGTGTTCCTATTGAACAAAATCTGGCTTTGACATGGAATACTTAAAGATATGTGATATTATCCAGATGCCAGTAGACACACTGAATGAGTTATGTTCAGAGAAGACGGGGTCAACTGCAACACCTCAAGGAATCTGAAGGCTGCAGAAAGCTGAGAAGGGTAAGGTTTAAGAAGAAATTTTACAGAGAGAGAGAGAGGGACAGACATAGAGGGACTGCACTCATTTATGGAATATAAAATAACATGATATGAGACTAACGCCCAAGGACAGTAGACACAAGGGCCAGGAAGATTGCTTCACGGTTGGCAGCCAGTCTCATGAGCTGGGGAAGAAGGCAGCTGGAATGGAGAAGTGATCACTAAGTCAATGATGGTCCGAGGGATCATTCGGGATGGGAGATGTGTTCTGAAAGTAGATAAAGGACCAAATGTGACAACCTCTCAGTATCTATATTGCAAACCATAATGCCCCAAAGTAGAGAGAGAGTATGGGGGAAACTATCTGCCATGGAGGCAGGGGGAGAGTGGGAAAGGGGGGGCATACTGTGAACATTGGTGGTGGAGAATATGCACTGGTGTAGGGATGGGTGTTTGATCATGGCATGATTGAAACTCAAACATGGAAGCTTGTAATTGTATCACACGGTGATTCAATAATAAATTTTTTAAAAAGAAGAAACTTTAGAAATTTCATGTAAATAACAACAACAATAAAATCCAGATCCCGGACGAGAGCAGTGCAGTCTCTGCCCCCGCGCCTCGGTGTTCCTTCCCGGAGTCCCTTGGAGGGGAGCGGGTTGAGCTTTCCTCCCCGTCCCGGCCAGGGCTACGGCAGCCGGAGACCTCCAGGACCAGCCACCACCATGCTGAGACCACTCTCCGCACACCTGAAGGTACTGGCAGAGGGACAAAGCCACGCGGGTTCCGGGGCCGAGACCTCCAAGCCTACTCGAATTGGAGTCGAGCATCTTCCACCCAGATCCTCCAAATTCCAGTAGGCGGGGGTCACACCCACCACCTGGCCCCCTGGCGCCGTGTAATCCCATCAGCGGCCAAGACTCAGAGACTATAAAATCCAGATCCCGGAACCGCGCGGCCGCATTTGCGGCCGCGCGACATCTTATTATCTCTTTCCTACTTTGGACAAACTTGCAGGCTGTCGAATGTAGCCTGCCCACAGGGCAGAGTCTGGCAAACTCCCCGTGGCCTACCAAATATGCCAAATACCAGTAACAATGATGGGTCTCATTCTCCTAAAGAGCCCTGAATATAATCTCAGGGCTAGGATGAAAGAGACGTTACTGGGGCCTGCTCGAGGCAATCGACGATTAACAGGATGATGAAATGAAAATGAAATGAACAACAACAACAACAAATGTGGGGCTGGAGAGTTAAGGTGTTTGCCACAGTACCACATGGTCCCCTGAGCAAGGAGGGACACCTGAGCACAGAGCCAGGAGTAGTACCTGAGCACTGCTGGATGTGATCACCTCTCAAGGCAAAAATAAAAGAATAACTAGAATTAAAAAATAAAAAAGATACAAATTAAAAGAATAATTTAAAATAGGAATAATTAAAATTTAAAATAAATAATTTTCAAAGGCTCAAAGAAATTAAAGCTCCCTCTGAACATCTACTGAACTAGTCAAAAGGAATCATTTCTGACATACTCAGATTTTGACAATTTCTGGCGGTATAGTTATTTTTCTTAAATTTATGTATTTATGCGTCTAGAAATTATACGACATGTCATTATTTCCCTGTGTTGAAATCATTCTTCTTAGGTTATAGTAACTTTTATAAGATACTATTCATGAAAAGGAAGCACATTTCTTTCTATTTAAGTAGTGTGCTGTAATTATAAAATAATGATTTTGATGTTGTTGTAAATTATGATACCTCAATGAAAATAAATAAAAACATTTAAAAATAGAAAATATGAATATATAGAGAACATCGGATGACTACTAAAAAGGTTTACATTCATATAGGACGCAATGATAGGGGTTAAACATTTAATAAAATGAAGGCATGGACAAAAGAGATTGAAGGGGGAAATAAGATGAGGCAGATGGAATATATCAGGGAGCAGGGGTCGGGGATGCCGGGTACATCATGTGGGGGAGTGGTACAGCTCTACTCTATATCCAAACCACACAATAAACAACCCTGAAAGCAGAAGACCTGAACTACAACCAACTAACTTAAAAATGTGTCTGTCTGGGGCCAGAGCGATAGCTCAGCAGATAGGGCGTTTGCCTTGTACATGGCTGACCTGAGTTTGATGCCCGGCATCCCATATGGCCCCCTAAGCACCACCAGGAGTTATTCCTGAGTGCAAAGCCAGGAGTAATCCCTGAGGATCATTGCGTGTGACCCAAAAAGCAAATAAATAAATAAATAAATAAATAAAACTGTCCTCCCGTTGTTCATAGATTTGCTCCAGCAGGCCCAGTAACATCTCCATTGTGAGACTTCTTGTTACTGTGTTTGGCATATTGAATACTCTCGGTAGCTTGCCAGGCTCTCCAAGAGGGGCAGAGGAATCGAACCTGGCTTGGCCAGGCTGGCTGCGCACAAGGCAAACGCCCTACCGCTGTGCTATCACTCCAGCCCCAATAAATAAATGAATAAATAAATAAATAAATAAATAAATAAATAAAAATAAAAAAATGTGCCTGTCTATGAGCTAGGCTGGAGGGTGGGACAGAAGCTGAGGAAACTGATAGAAGGAAATTGACATTGGTGATGAGACTGATGCTAGAACACTGTGTTTGAAACTCAATTAGAAATAACTTTGTAAATCTCAGTGTCTTAATAAAAATCTAAACAATAAAAGGTATGCAGGGACTGTTAATGCCACTCATTAATCAAACATATTTTTCAGTGAAACATTATTAGCATAAATGTTGGCTGAGTGAATATTTACAAGTTTCTTAAATGTGAGAAGAAAAACAGTTCATATTTACTTTACAATCAGAAACACCAAAGTATTTAATAATTCTGTAAGTAGCAATGTTGTCACATATGGAGCACTTATGAAATACCATTCAATATACTTAGAGCAATAGAGAATATTGTGCCTACTGAGTTCCTTAATTCTTTAATGCTCAGTGTCAGAGAGAAGCAGATTTAGAGAACAGTATAACGGATCTGATTCAAAGATGATTAAAGTTACCCTAGAATAAATGTTTGACAGAGAAAAGATAATTTAATTTGGAACACGTTCTTCTTTAGAATTACACATACATATCTTATCAAGATAAAATCTATAGCAGCATCTGGATATTTTGGTTATAAATAGATTTAAATATTTATTCTTCTTTGAACACAAATAGGAATGAACAGCTAACCTAGAAAATATCTTTTGATTAACGGTAATTCATGCTGAAATTTTGTCTTCTTCCTATTTTTAAAGTAGAGTGATACTGTCTTTTTCCCCCTCCTTCCCATTCCATTGTGACCTGTTTATTGCTCTATTATTTCTGAGAGATTTAATTTTCTTGTTTATTATCAGCCTATCACAGTCTTGGTTAGTAGGATTAAATAAAAACTGCCTTTTCTTATTCCCTTAGTAAAGAACTCAGTATTAATAGATTATATGGCAACTGATGGACAACTTGTGACATTGGGATGGATTTAACTATATCTTGGTAAAATATTGCACAATCACATAGAACATTTACTATAATAGTATTAATCCTTTTTTTACTTTATGTTTTGTATCTTACTTTCAATTTCTTGTTTATTTTTCAAGAAAAGATTTTTATTATTAAAGAAAATTATGACATCGCTATTTGAAAAAATATCCAAGATATGATTTTGATGGTTTTATGAAAATATCCTTTGTGTTTAATAATTTAATAAATATACAAAATATGAAAAAATTCATTCTTGAGGAAAGTTAAATGCAAACTATGGATGCACTTGTGTTCTTGTGTTCCTATGGAATGATTATGACTCTTGTTTTCAATAATAAGTTGTTTTCTAAACTTTTTGTCTTGTTACTTATTTCTTTAAATTGACCACTTATTTCTTTAAACTATTTAAATTGATTTATTTGTTTATAGAATTCCTGAAATTTAGCTTCACACTGTGTTAAATATGTTAAATATGTATGTTAAATACCACTCCAACTGCCAGACTTCCAGTGTCATGTTACCACCATTCTAAAATTTTCTTTGTTATAAATTAAAATTTACACTCGCCATTAAAATGGGCTGGAGCGATAGCACAGTGGGTAGGGCATTTGCCTTGCATGCAGCCAACATGGCCAACCCGAGTTCGATTCCTCTGCCCCTCTCGGAGAGCCTGGCAAGCTACCGAGAGTATCTCGCCCACACGGCAAAGCCTGGCAAGATACCTGTGACATATTTGATATGCCAAACACAGCAACGAGTCTCACAATGTTACTGGGCCTACTCCAGCAAATAGATGAACAATGGGAAGACAGTGACAGTGCCAGTGCCATTAAAATATAGGGGTCACTCCTGGTGACGTCTGATGCTAGGAACCAAGCTTTCTCATCTGATACATATTACAAAAAAAAAACAGGGTTTCCTTTATGTTAACTAATAACCAGCAAATTATAAAGAGATTCTCAGTTGGGTTGGAGTGGATTCCCAGTGGATCTACTTACTGTTCTTCCTCTTGCCATCACTTATTGATACTCAGTTTTTCATATATTTTTTGTTTTTGTTTTTGTTCTGCTTTTTGGGTCACACCTGGAGATGCATAGGGATTACTCCTGGCTCTGCACTCAGGAATTACTCCTGGCGGTGCTTGGGGACAATAATAAGGTGTAAATTGCTGGGAATCGAACCCGGGTTGGCCGTGTGCAAGGCAAATGCCCTACCTGCTGTGCTATCACTCCAGCCCCTCATATATTGCTTATCTTTCATTTTCTCCTTCCTGTGCCCCCTCAAGCAGACTTTTGCAAGAGTTCAAAGTGAGTGCTTCTGGGACTCCGCCCACTTCCCTCACCATCTCAGTATAGAGTGGCTTCCTCCAACCCATCATTTCAGTGAAACAACTACTGCTCAGATTCTGACATACCTCCTGATGGTCAAATTTGGTTGACTGTCTTCTTATCCTTTTTTTTTTCTTTCTGAGAATTTTATCTCATTCACCACATTTCTCTTAAAATTGTGTACCCTCTATTAAAACAAATGGTGCAGTAAAGGATTAAGTTGGGAGGTCAGAGCTGTCCAGATCCTGCACACTCCCAAGAAAGATCTGGCCTTTGATTGGTTCCTAGGGACCACCTTTACCTCTTTGGAATATCCCACCTCGTAAGAATGACTTAAACCGTGTCAGATAACTTATGCCCTCGCTTCTTAAATTGTGGGTTATGACCCCACAGGGGTTACTTAACTGAATGTGGGGGTTGAGATAAATTTGGTAAGAGTAAAAGGTTTCTTTTTTTAGATGGTACCCTTTGAACCTTTTGAATCTGGGCTCATGTGCTCCTCACTTTATCAGTATCAGTTTTGTAAACTATAGTGCCTAAAATTTATTTTTTAAAAGTTCCTGTTATAGAGGTAGGCTGGTGGGTGGGAGGGAAAGAGGAGACACTGGTGGAAGGAAGTAGGCACTGATGAAGGGATTGGTGTTTGGTGTGGGAACACTGTATGCCAAAAACCCAAATGTGAATAACTTTGCAATTTACAGTGACTGAATTTTAAGAAAAAAGGGCAGAAAGTTTCTGAATGCACGGCAACCAAAATTGAACTCAAAAATCAACCACATAATGAATTTGAGGTGCTGAAGTGGCTCTGGCAGTGCTCGTCTGTGCTGCATTTCTCAGGTTAAGAGGGGTCACAAGTGAAAAATGTTTGAGGAGTCCTGATTTATGGTAGGGCATTGGGTCATACTGTATCAGTCTGGCCCCCGCCGAGGCTGGAGACAGAGTAATGTGGGCAGACTAATCCTCTAAGAGCAACAAGCACCAGGACTCGGGTGAGCATCCCTGGGGGACAGAACTCGTGGGCATTTTCACACATGACTTCTGGGGAAATTCAGAGCTGTCTGTTGGTCTGCAATTAGCTGCAAAACACTGCAATCTGTGCCCAGTCTTTCCTTTTTCCAGTAATGATTTTAATCTTAATCCTTTCACTGTAGTTAATTGCAATCATGAATGTACTGTCCTTTCATTGTTCATCGACTTGCTCGAGTGGGCCCAGTAATGTCTCCATTTTGAGAATTGTTGTTACTGTGTTTGGCATATTGATTATGTCACGGGTAGCTTGCCAGGCTTTGCCGTGTGGGTGAGATACTCTCGGTAGCTTACTGGGCTCTCTGAGAGGGGCGGAGGAATCGAACCCGGCTCGGCCTGGCTGGCTGCGTGCAAGGCAAACACCCTACCACTGTGCTATCAATCCAGCCCATGAATGTGCTAATTTATCAATTTTTATGAGGTCTGTGAGTCCTTCTAAGGAATTGTGGAACCTAGGGTAGTCTTGGGCATGCCGGGCAACAGCCATTCGCAGAAAAAAATACTTAAAAATGACCTTCTGGTTCTTCGGGTTCTTCATTGTGACCTGTAATAAGTTCCCAGGATGGAATGAAGGAACAAACTATTTTTTTACCAATGGAGGAATTTACAATCTAGTTTGGGAACAAGGGTCTGACACCCAAACAGATTTTCTACAGAATGTGCTATGCATACACCAGACAAGTATTATCAGTCTTTTAGGGGGTTTCCCCCAGTGCTGTCTAGGGTCTAGAGGACCATTCTTAGAGTTACCTGGCCCTGTGGTGCAGGCCTAATGTTTAGGTACTCAGACTTGGGGGTGCTGGGGAGTGTGCTGTGTGGTTCTGGGGGTTAAACTTGAGACTTTTGCCTGCCAGGTCTGTGTTTCAGACTTTTGAGGTATCTTTCCAGCTCCAGTTTTATTCTTTGGGAAGGGAGGCTGGGTCATATCCAGTGATGCTCAAAGGTTATTCCTGGTTCTGTGCTTAGGAGTGACCTCTACTGGTGCTCAGGGGACCATATGTGGTACCTGGGATGGAACCCTCCCGTTGTTCGTCGATTTGCTCGAGCGGGCCCAGTAACGTCTCCATTGGAGACTTTGTTGTTACTGTGTTTGGCATATCAAATACTCTCGGTAGCTTGCCAGGCTCTCCGAGAGGGGCGGAGGAATCGAACTCGGGTCGGCCATGTTGGCTGCGTGCAAGGCAAATGCCCTACCGCTGTGCTATAGTGAGTGACATGCAAGGAAAATACCTTAAACCCTGTACTGTATCTCTGACCCTCATATTTTTCTTGGTGCTTATTCACCTTGCTAACTTTGCTTCACAATGTCAGTTCTTTAAGTATAGGTATATAGTATATATAGTATATAGTATAGGTAAATATTCATCTTTGTACCCTCATCACTTAGGTGCTCAGTATGGGTTTGGTTTTTGTTCAATTGCTGAAAACAAATGCTATTCACAGATTACTTATTTTTCACACTTACACTTTTGGTAGTATCAGTTCCTTGGTACAACTGGACAGTTCCAGTCTTCCATCTTTCATCCTCACTCCTGGTTTCCTCCCAGGCCAGGACATTATTACTGTTTTTCACAAACACACGAAGTTTCCCTACTTTGTCTCCAGACAGTCGGTAATTGAAGAGCAAACAGAAGTTGCTAAGGGGTTGCAGGTCAGGGAGGAGAAGTTTCAATCTGCCAATGTCCTTCTTGCGCCCAACCAAAGCAGGAACAGCCATATAGTAGCCAACAGCTTCAAGAGAAGAAACACACAAATTGAATGAGGCCACTAAAGGATTTGGCTATTGAGTGCAAAGTAGCTATAAACAAGGAATTGTAGTAAAGTGGAAGTTGCCTTTTCACTTGTAACACAAGAACAATATTTTAATGCTTACAAGGGTTTAAGGAATCACAGAGTGAAAATTCTTTGTTACAGAGAGAATGCTGAGAGTCAGAGCTGAGGAACTGGTTCATATTCACAGAGCCTAGTAGTAGCAGAGAAGGGGTCAGTATCTACTGGGGCCTTTAACACTAATCCTTTAGCACTAAAGTTAATTTGTGACTGGTGGGGAACTTGTTTACAGAATGTTTTGCCTTAGCTGTTTGAAATTTGGGATGCATTTCTCCATGGAATCAATGCTGTATGGTGCTCCTTAGACAGGTCATACAGCATATTTGAATAGTCACATGGAGCTCAGCTACCAGATATATCACTCTAAGATCTGATGTAAGATGATAGGAACACATATTTTAGGTATAGTAAAAAAATTTTTTGCATGTTGGGTCACACCCGGCAATGCTTAGGGGTTACTGCTGGCTCATGCACTCAGGAATTACTCCTGGTGGTGCTCAGGGGACCATATGGGATGCTGAGAATCGAACCCAGGTTGGCCGCGTGCAAGGCAAAGGCCCTGCCTGCTGTGCTATCGCTCCAGCCCCAGTATTGTAAAATACTTGTTACGGAAATTATGTTGGTTTATCTATCTTCCAATCAGTGGTAGCAGATCTTTGGTTATCTTCAACCTTCTGGTTGTATCTTTTTTTAAATTTTTATAAGTGAAACACCATGAGGTACAGTTGTAGATTTACAAATTTTTGTGCTTGGGTTGTAGCTTTTATAAAAACTCTTCCAAAACTCCTAAATTAAGAGTCAGCTAAGAAGGAGAAATTTCTCCAGAACTCAGTGAAAGAGGTTTACAAAATTGAGCCAATAAAAATACAGCAAATCCAGTGAATTCTGAATTTCAGATAAACAGGATGTTGGTGAGATATGCTAAGCATATGTTGCTTATGTGAAATTTGGGCCTCCTGTACTTTTCTAACAAAACTACCAGATTTTTTTTCTTTTGTGACCTATTCTGATTTATCCAAGGTGAAACCTAGTTGAACTGCTCTCTTGAGATTTTATCCTTCTAATAATGTGTATTCTTCTTTCCTTCCTTCCTTCCTCTTCCTCCTCCTCATTCTCCCCTTCCTCTGCTTCCTCCTGCTCCTCTTCCTTCTTTCCTCCTCCTCCTCCTCCTCCCCTTCCTCCGCTTCCTCCTCCTCTTCTTCCTTCTCTTCCTCCTCTCCTTCTCCTTCTTCTCTTTCTCCTTCTCCTTCTCCTTCTCCTCCTCTCCTCCTCCTCCTCTTCCTCTCCTCCTCCTCCTCCTCTTCCTTCTTCTTTTATAGCCCTGAACATCACACCCAGTGATGCTCAGGGCTGCTCGGAGATCACTCCTCCTGGTGGTACTTGGGGGACCCTGTGCTTGCCAAGATAGAATCCAGGTTGGCCAAGAGCAAGGCAAGTGCCCTCCTTATCTACTGTACTATTGCTCTGGCCCTACATCATGCTTCTTTTATTTGTAATCTTAAAAACAATTCCATGGGATCTGATGGAGGTTCAGGAGGAGAGGAAGTAAGGAGTGTGAATCCAGTGTTTGTAAATAGGGGAGAAACTTTGGGTTGATAGAAACCTAATTGAAAACATTACTGAATGTGTGACCTATTTGGATCCTGCAATAACCTCTGAGCTCCCAAGGTGACAGAGCTCTGGCAGGATAAAATTGGACATGCTGTGATGGAAGACAGGGGAAACTCCAGCTAGGGGGAACAAGGTAGCCTCTTGGATGGGTTAAAATTTCCCATGCTTTCCCTGAATCTCTCATGAAATTTCTACTCACACAAGTTATTGTGTTGGATAGAGCTCTTCTGTACAAATCACAAAGTCTGAAAGAAATTTTTCTGAGGGGATAACCAGGATTTAAAAAAAATGCATATGAAGCTTTGAAAGTATAGATCTCAGGGAAGAATTAATCCAAAGACTATTAATCAGATGTCCCAAAATTTGTTTAGCCTTCAGCTCTTTTTACAGAAAAAAATTCATTTTTTCTTCAAAAATCTACCTTCTTCACGGAACAAGCATAAAGTGTCCAAATTGCACCTGAGACTTAATGCAGAACCCGGCAGCTTGGAGCAGAAAAGTGAACAGACTATGCGTTAATCCAGGCCATCAGGTCTGTCCGGAGGGGAAAGGGTGTTGCCCCAGTCGCCTTCTCCTCTCTGGAAAGAAAGATGGCGGCCGCATGGGAGCCTTGTGGACAGCAGGTATGAGCCGGGAGAGTGGGGGCGACTAAAACCTCATGGGAAGGGGGGGCGTTTCGGTCCGTCCTTCACGCCCTACCGAGGCCACCAGTTGCCCCCCACTAGCGGCTCTCCAGCACGGCCACGACTCCAGAGCACAGAAACCAATTTCTTAACTATCTGACTTTCAGTAGAAATACTTCCAGGGTCAATAAGTAAAATAGCAGAAATCCAAAACCAACATATAATTCTTGAACCCAGCTATAGAAAGCAAATCACTTCACAGTGCTTTGTCAGCATGTCTGATTTGGGGGTGGGGGGGTAAACTCTAAATAATAGTGGTGAATCTTTTATTGAAACAATGAATCTAATCAAAGCAGATAGAGTGTTAACTAGAATTCATCTGCCTCACAGGGACGGGGAGGGGTGGGGGGTGGGGTTTTATTGGGGTTCTTCATGGTAAAAAATAAGTTTTGGTAAAGGGAAATGTGCTTGATATTTGCATGACTGAGACCTAAACCTGAAAGCTTTGTAACCTTTCCCATGGTGATTCAATAAATAAATAAATAAATTAAAAAAAAAAAACAAATTGCACCTGAGGCTCCTTTGCATTGTTTCTGTACCTCTGAAGAGGTAGCATAACCCACTTGGGGAGCCATTGATCTTTCCACTGAGGGCTGAGCTATGCATTACCCAAATAAATAGTTTGATGGGCAAGGAACTGGAGTCATTGAGGTATAGTGTTACATGTTATTATATGATCAGTTTTCAGAGATGGAGTATATAAAATACGATTTATACTCTAAATGGGATCTACCATACACAACATCAAAAGGAGAGCAAGGTCCCATGAAGAGTACTTAACGAGGGAACTCAGAACTGAGGGTGAGAGCTCAGTGTTAAATGACCAGAAAGTAATCCTCCAGCAGCAGAAGGGAAAGTTCAATGCAGTAGTACATGCTGCAAACCAGGCAATCTTGGCGGTTTCTATGGTTCAACAGGTGGCTCCACTAAAACCTCAGGTTTAGGTAGAGGTCGTGTTTCTTTTCATGGTTGATTTCTTTGCTCTCCAAATAGAAAACAAAAACTACAGAACACCACAGTTGGCAAGAGTGGGTAAAGGAATAACTTCTTCTTTTTTTAATCTGTTGCATCCATACTCTTAAACTTTGTAAGTATTACAACATTTTTTTTGTCAGGAGGAGGAGGAGAGCAAATACAGAAGTGGTTTTCTAGAACCTCCTGCATGTGGGTAGTTGGGTAAGAGAGGGGTTCAGTAGGAGAAAGTATGTTGAACTGTTAGTCATTCAGAAGCAACTTCAAAGGGTCTAAAGGTTTTCAAATGTGGCAGACAACCTAGACTTCGCAGGTTAGAGGAATGATTCCCCCTGGAGAATCTTCTATATTAGTGCCATAATGTGCAACAGTAATCAGTGAAAGCTAAATACCGTTATCTCGATCAGCAGGATTCCAGTCAAAATCATCTTTCTTATCTTGTTTCCAGTCACAGGCACCATGGTCAAAACTACAGTCAACAGAGATATTTAAATCTGTGAAGAAAATGGGTGCAGTTAAGACCATTAAAGAGGAAAATCACTCTCACATTTGGATCTTTGAAAGGCATTGTCATGTTCTCATTTGCCTGATTATGGTCAATGAAATGACCGTAAGGACACTGATGACTTAAATGCCATTTCCATTTAAATCTGGGAAGTCATTATAGATAAATTCTGTTGCTGTGATCTCAAATCAAAAGCTATAGTACAACAGAGGCTGTGGCTCCAGTGGTAGAGCAAACACCTTGTGTGTGTGAGGTCCTGGTTTCCATCTCTGATACCGCATGGCCCCTAAGCACCATCATATGCAGTCCCCCCAAAAACAGAAGTTACAAACTGTAAAAAGAGATAATGGGCAAGAATCTACTGAGCAAAGCAAAACAGAAAAATGTAGGTTACTTTTTGTAAAGTTCAGGCCAGAAAACAGTCTCTCCTGCCCGCTAAAGTTAGTGAAGACCTTGATAGAACTTTGTAGATGATCTGTGGCACAGCAAAATTCATGTAGGCCTGTGACATACAAGATTCGTTCAGAACACAGGTGATAAAGCTTTCTTTACTTTATGATTCTGCCATTATAGTTAGAAATTTGCCATCACTATGTTGGAGCGAATCAGTGGAAAAGAACTCTTTTATAAACAGTTACTGGGGTGTAGATGGTCAGGAAAATAGAATGATTGTGTCAGCTCACTCAAATTCCGAATCAGTATTTCTGTTACCTTTTAATTCTCTACCTAGCGGTGCTCAGGGGCCACACACATCTAGCTCTGTGTTCAGGGGCCATGCCTGACAGTGCTCTTGGAGCCATATGTGGTGTCAAGACTCAAGTCAGGGCCCCAGCCACAGTTGTGTGCTAGTAAAGAGCCTTAACTTTTGGCGTTCCCACCCTTTAACGCTATATTTATGTAGAGTAGTGTTGGGCATTAACCGTTAAGTATTTTACATTTCATCAGTGAATTGCCACTTTTCCTCCCCCCCAGAGATGCTTAAAGTGCTCTTGAGAGCACCTCTAATACCCCGAGTTTATCTTTTACATTTTCATTGTGTTAGTTACTAAGTCAAACCTGGTGACTCTGGACTTTGTGTTTGGAGTGGGTTACCTGCTTTTCTATTTCCCCTATAGCCGTTTCATATTTTACTGTAGAGCAATTCTCTTTGCTTAATCACAAAAAGACCATTAATGCTGTGCTCCTAATATTTGGGAGTTGATTGAGTCAAATATATCTACTCCCGGGCATTCATAATAATTACTTGAGTCAGGTTTTTGGTTGCCGTAGTTCCTAACACCTCACAAAGGGAGGTCCCACCGCAAGGTGAGTGGCAAAGCTACCCCACCATTGAAATGGGACAATCTGGGAAGCATAAAGGCATGTCTTGATGCATGTTGTATGACTTAAGAGACAGGACCCCATGGAGAAGCACAAGCTGAACTGACCTGAGGACTTTTTCTGGGATTTACAGTAAAAGACTTGCTTGACTTCAGAGTCCAGAGAACTAAAATTTGAATCTCTATTTCTTACTGTGTTTATCCAAATAACTAAGTATTACTAAGTAATATTACTAAGTATTACTAAGAAGTAAACTTAATTGTTTAATACGTATGACTAAAGGGAAAGAGAAAAGCAAATAATTCACTACAGATACAAAGTTCAGAGTCACAGAGTTTGTGCTTAAGGACAAGACTGAGATTTGTAACAGACTGGCTCACAAAACCCCAAACCTTTATTACCTGTTCCTTTGCAAGAAAGAAGTGTTTTGATCTCTTAGATAGATAACAGAAAGTGCCACTTGGAAAGAAGGAGAAGATTGAGACATTATAACTCACAGATGCTTTGGGTTTTGATTTGGGTCTTTGGTTGTTTATAATAAGGAATAACAGACTGGAAAGGAAAGGTAAATACTAATGAGGTAAGCTGGTTCTTGACTTCTTACAATTAGCAAAATATTTTCACATATGCAATATAATTTGATTTGCTTGTTACAAAAATATCATAATCAGACACACTTTAGCAAGGTGAAACTAAGCAGTAAGGGTGGTGTCCAAGTCCTGAGCACTAGCTTTGAACCTGAACCCCAAACTAGACTGAAGCTGGGGCTGTCCAATGCCATACGTATCCTAAACTAGCACAAATACTGTCTGTTTCTTGTCTTCTTTTCTCCTTAACCCCCAATTCTTCTTATTCTGGTAAAGACCCTTAATTCTAGTCCCATTTATACAGTTAAAAGAGGCCAGGTATCGCGGATGTGGTGAGAAAGGGACACTCCTTCACTGTTGGTGGGAATGCCGACTGGTTCAGCCCTTTTGGAAAACAGTATGGAAGATTCCCAAAAAATTAGAAATTGAGCTCCCATTTGATCCAGCAATACCACTCCTGGGAATATATCCCAGAGAGGCAAAAAAGTATAGTCGAAGTGACATCTGCAATTGTCTGTTTATTGCAGCACTCTTTACAATAGCCAGAATCTGGAAAAAAACTGAGAGTCCGAGAACAGATGACTGGTTAAAGAAACTTTGGTACATTTACACAATGGAGTACTATGTAGCTGTTAGAAAAAATGAAGTCACGAAATATACATACAAGCAGTACTACATGGAAAGTATCATGTTAAGTGAAATAACTCAGAAAGAAAGGGATAGACATAGAAAGATTGCATTCATCTGGGGAACATAAAGTAACAAAATAGGAAACTAACACCCAAGAATGGCCGAGATTAGTACCAGGAATTTTACTCCATGACTTGGAGGCCAACCACACATACTATGGAAAAGGGAGCTCAGATAAAGAGGGGAACACCAAATAAAGGTGTTGGGAGGACCCGCACAGGATGGGAGAAGCATGCTGAAAGTAGACTATAGACCAAACATGATTGCCACTCAATGTTTCTTTTGCAAACCACAACATCCAAAAGGAGAGAGAGAACAGAGGGGAATGCCCTGCCACAGAGGCAGGATGGGATGGGGGGGTTGGAGGGTGGAGGGATACTGGGATCTGTGGTGGTGGGAAATGGGCACCAGTGGAGGGATAGGTGTTTGATCATTGTATAATTGAAACCCAAGCACAAAAATGTGTAAGTCTGCAACTGTTCCTCATGATGTCTCACTATTAAAAATTTTTTAATAAAAAAAAAGAGGCCAGGTATTGCCTGGATCCAATGTTCTTTAGTTAGTGATCTTACTGGCTTGAGAAGTTGATGCTTCTAGTCCGTGAAAAGTGAATGCAGCACAATTTTTAGTTGCTTTATAATTGTAGTGGCACGTGCCTCAACTTTGCTCTCTTCCTCCACATGGAAGGAACTGTGGATGTGGATTGAAACAGGATGTAATCATCTTCTCCACAACTCATGGCTTACTGCAGGACACTGAGAACACGTGGCTATTTGTTACACAGCATTCTTTTTTAATGGGAGGACTCCAACGTGGTGCTCAGGAGGTCAAGGGGCTGCTTCCAGTGACTCTCAGCCAACTAGGCCAGTGATTCGATGCCTGAGTCTGAGAATGCGGTGCTGTTTAGGCCCTGGGGTGTTGGGGATTACCCAAATCACCCTAGTGGTATGTGGGGGGGCTCCAGGGTTACATCTGATGATGTTTGGAGGACCATGTGATGTTGGAGATTGAACCAGAGTTGGCCTTAGGCAAGGCACTCACCCAGACCACTGTACTATCTTTCTAATCTCTACAAAGCAGTCTTGTGTCGACAGGTAGCTGACACAGGCACTTGGGAACAGATCTTAGACCAACAGTAGCGGGTTGTGGGTCCTCAGACATAGGAGCTGAAGCAAAAAATGTCTCGTATTTCTACACATACTATCTGTTACCACACTTCCTTCCCAGCACCAGTTGGAAAGTGGTGGAGATAAGAAAACTTTCTTACTATAATCATTAATATCAGCAGACCTGCTCTGATCCTACTGAAATTCTTGGTCACAGTGTAATGAGTCTCTCATCAGCTACATACGAATAAACTCCATAATTCAAAAACAATCTTCGAAAAACAGAAATGACATCGGACAGCATGAGAAAGCATGGATGTGGGGAAATCTGTGGAAGATGTGTGTTTCCAGGTCTTATAGACAGCCTTAGTTCTTAGTTCTTACCTTTACGTTCCAATTCGGATGTTATGGCTTTTCTTTGCATCAGAACAAGATCAAATTCACCTGCTTCCTTTGCCCTAGGAGCTGATAAAGAACACTCAATCCGTTAGGAAAAAGCCCTAAAAAGAGTCCATACTAAGACAGTCTGATTGAATAAGAGGATTTTCACATATATTTTGCTTACTGAAGATACTGCAGTAGTGTTTTCCTAAATTTCCCAAAGCATTCGTCCTTGTCCCAGTTTATTCATTCAGAGTATCTTTTCCCAGGCTCTACCAAGGTTTCTTAAGCATCTACACCAGTAACATGCTTCTTCTCACCAGTTTTGGAAATACCCTTTGAGCTTTCTGCTCTCTATTAAGGGCAATGAATGTCTTAGATAAATGGGCCTGTGCTTATTCTTCATTTGGTTCAATCCAAGAGTCATAGAAAAAAATGTACAAGGGGAACATAGAGGCAGTGAAAAATGTCCAGAAAAAATCAAATAGAAAGTCTCACAGTGGGGTTACGGTGGGGTGTGGAGGGTGGTGGTACCCAATCTTGAGGGGCTGAGACTTATAGTTGTTCTACAGAGCAATAGTGTAAAGGAGGGTTTTCTAGTTGATACTGACGACCTGAGTTCCACTGGAGAAATTTCTCTCCAAACAATTGTCTATTTTGGCTTTTGAAACTATAACCAGACAAACTGTGAAATTGCTCTTTCATTAAGCAGAGCTGTCAAAAGGGCTTTCGAGAAGTGAAAAGGTAGATCTTGGCAGATTTACCTTGGAGAGAAGGGACACACTAATTTTGGCTGGAGTGATCTGCACAGAGAGTTGAGAAGTCAGACAACAGAAAGAGGGAGTCATGAAACTGGAAACTCCAGATAAGGAGGAAGGGCACTTCTCCTTGTTTTCCAGAGCAACAAATTGGAAATCTGTGGAAGATGTGTGTTTCCAGGTCTTCTAGAGAGCCTTAAGTTCTTAGGACTTTACATGGGACCCATTTTCCTTTAGGTATGAAATTATCCTTTTAATAATATCTACTAAATGTATATCCTTTTATAAATGTATAAAATATTTAAATGTTTCTCACCAAATACATCTCCTCGCAGGCTCTTCTCCTGTTCCACATGGTTCTTTAAAGCTTTCTCCCTTCTCTTCTCTTCCTCTCTCTTCTCTTCCTCCAGCCTTGCTTTCTTTCTCTCTCCATTCCCTTTTCTTCCTCCATTACTTGTTTTCCCATCTCGGGAAACACTCTTTTCGGAGTTGAAGGGCTGCAAATTAACTTTTGAGGGAAGAGTTCCAGAAGGTTCTGTGATGACGTTCTTAATTTTGGCTTTCTTTTTTATGCTGTTTTTGTGAGCAAGCAACTTCTTGATTCTGTCTTTGATGGTGCCAGGAACTTTGAGGATTTCTTTCACAGAATTTTCGGGGATAACTAAACAAAAACAAACAGGTGAGACGTTCCACAGGAGCTGATAATTATGTCATTCTCTTTCTCCCATCCTCCACCCCCCCACACACAATGAAGCATTTTAGATGTGCTAAGGAGCAAGACGTGGATTACCCTGGGATCCACTCATCTAAATCTCTACCATCAGATCTTTAAGGAGAGTTGTATTTGCTTATGTTTTATTTATTTATCTATTATTATTTTTATGATGACAACTTGTTTATGTGTATTACCAGTCACTTGCATGTTAGAGAAAAGGGCAAACTTGACAGTTCTTCCTGCCCCGGCCTGCCCCGGTTAGCCTGCTGCAGAGGGATGCCACTCATCACCTCCAAGGAGAGAGGGGCCCCCAGCCTCCCCCGTCAGGAGGAGGAATGGACCTCAGTCTTGGGGTCTAAATAATCTTCTGTTTTATTATGTATTTATGCATTGAACTGTCCTGGACACTCCCTCAGAGCACCCAGGTTTCTAATGTGTCCATGCTTGTGCTGCAGGTGACAATGTAAGCCCAGCACACCCAACACTCAATATCCTCCTCATGGTCCTAAGGGTCCGCACAACTGGCCGGCACCCTCTGTCTTTTCCTGTCACACCCAATTGCCTTTTCAGAGTCTAAAGTTCTGTTTTTACCAGCCATTGCCTGCTGCCTCATTTTCTTTCTTTTGCAGTGGAGCTATTTAGGGAGCCCAGGAACCCCTACAATGATTCTTGGCCAACCAGGGCAGGCAATTCAACACCCAATGGAATACAAGCAGAAATGACAGACCTTCAGACTACTTTAATGACATATATGATACTGCCAAGCTCCTACAGATCCCGAAGTGATAAATTTTCTAGAGTCCTCTAATACTTCTGCCATCATCCTAGTATTCTCCAAAACTGGTACAGTCAAGGTAGCTCAAAAGATTTGTCAATTTTATATAGAAAAATCATAACTATAATCATAGACTGACCTATACATATTACCAGGAGTTAGCCATTTTGTGACTTCAAAGACGATGATCTATGGTTAAAGGATCACAAACCTATTATATTTTTTGCTTTTTGGGTCACACATGGCATTGCACAGGGGTTACTCCTGGCCATACACTCAGGAATTACTTCTGGCGGTGCTCAGGGAACCATATGGGATGCTGGGAATCAAACCCAGGTTGGCTGTGTGCAAGACAAACGCCCTACCCTCTTTGTTATCGCTCCAGCCCCACAAACTTATTTTCTTCTCCTGTTCTAGTTCTCATTTTATTTTCTTCACCTCCATAAGCTGCTATCAAAAGCAAAATTCCTTGATTACTTACAGAGAGACTTCTAGATCTACTCTTTTACCTTTATTTCCTATTTCTCTTTACCAAATAAAATTGTTTTGGAAAATACTCCATTTGTTTGATCCCTCTTATTCCCCAGGGCATCAATCAATGACCCTTAAGGGTGAATGTTAATGATGGAAAAAATCCAAAACTGTAGAAAACAGGTCATGAAACCTAACATATTTGTTGTGTAGATGAAGTAAACTGGGTGATGTTACATGACATATTTAAGGTCACTCAGATGCTAAAACCAAAGCTAGGTTTTTAGGATAGGGCATATGAATAACTTTTTCCCAGTTCTATTTTCATGACAGACTCAATACTGTTTTAGGAGAAAAGGGTTATATTTCTCTACACTTGGTTCAAATTGCATGAGATCTAGAATCCTAAGATGCATGGCCCTTTCCCAGGAACAGACTTAGGATATTTAAGAATCGCCAACAATGTAAAAAAAGAAATGAAAAAAAACTCACTGATTATAAGAAATCATAGATATTTTTCTGTTAAACAATAGCTAGGCATGAGCTAGTCTAAGACTAAGCAAGAAAACGAATTCACTCAGTTATACTACCTGGCTGAAGCAATAGCACAGCAGGTAGGGCATTTGCCTTGCACGCGGCCGACCCAGGTTTGATTCCTCCGTCCCTCTCGGAGAGCCTGACAAGCTACCGAAGAGTATCCCATCCACACAGCAGAGCTTGGCAAGCTCCCCGTGGTGTATCCGATATCCCAAAAACAGTAACAACAAGTCTCACAATGGAGGTGTTACTGGTGCCCGCTCGAGCAAATCAATGAACAATGGGAGGACAGTGCTACAGTGCTACACACTACCTACATTCAGCTTAGTGGGAAGTGAGATAAGGCAGCAGACATCAATTTTGGAACCTAAAAGGAATACTATAAAGAATAACTTGAATTTGAATTTTATTCAAATATTTTTCTTGGCTGAATCTGGAGCGATAGCACAGCAGGTAGGGCGTTCGCCTTACAAGCCTCCAACATGGCCGACCCGAGTTCGATTCCTCCGCCCCTCTCGGAGAGCCCGGCAAGCTACCGAGAGTATTCGATATGCCAGACACAGTAACAACAAAGTCTCCAATGGAGACGTTACTGGGCCCGCTCGAGCAAATCGACGATCAACGGGAGGGCCTTTACCTTTTACCTTATTTTTCTTGGCATTGCTTTTGTCTCTCCTCCACCTCTGTCTCTTCATCATTTCACTGATCCAATCTGTACCAAATTAGTGGAAAAATACACAAGAAGTGCACCAAATTTTGAATAATCAAAGGGAGAAAGAAAATGTTTTGAAGATGTATGTGCATTTAATACATTTCTGTTACTTTGAAATCAGAACCATGACTGCTATGACAGAAAGATACCTTTCTCCTTTTAACAAAATAGTCCAGTTATTTATCATTATGACAGAATGTGGTTATAGGTTCGAAACCAACGGTCGAATACAAGTAATGGATCATGACTCACTTTGCTGACCTCTGACAGCCTGTTTCAGTTCATTTGCCAGCGGGTGCAAATCAAGTTTAGATTGTAATGTGTTAATCATCTAGAGGCTTTCCCCTGGAGGCAGGTCACAGTGCATAATTGGGTTCATGGGTCCCTGAATCTTTTCCCAGGACCCAGTATGAAAAATGAACAGGAAACATCCATTCCCTGGAAATTTCCTTTGTGCAATCAGTAACATAAAACTGGAGACTGTTAATAAGTAATGAGGTGAGTGCTTCAGCCCACACCAGTCAAAGCTAAACATCTGCTTTCAGTTTTGGTTTTGAAATTCCAATTTTTCCTATTGGAAAAAAAAAAGACATCCCACAGACGCCACCACGTAAACTCATCGGTCCAGTTCTACAGATTCACGACTAATCTTGGAAAAGATGCAAGCCAAGCCGCTAAAATTCATGGATACACCCGTTCGTCTGGCTGAAACCTCTTGGGCACCCTTGGGTGGGGGTGGACCGAGTCTTTGTCCTGCTGAAACCCCAACAGTCAGACCCACACTCTACTGCTATGCCAACAGCCCAGCTTCACTGCTTCATGATTAATCTCTGCAGAGATGCCAAACTGGTAAAAACTCCAGGTACACCTGTTTTCAGGCTGAAAAAAAAAACCTCTGGGTATTCTTGGAATATGGGTGACAGCCTCCCTTAGACCCCCTCGTACTTCTGAAAGCCCAGGAAACCACACCCACATGCCACACTGGCTGCCACGTAAAATGATCCATCCAGTTCTGCAGATCCTAGAATTCCTAGAGCACTCAGCCACACATTTTTAATTCCACAATACTAAACGTCCCAGTAGGAGCACATCAAATTAGTAGGGAAAGTAGCATACATGCCAAGTAAGCTCAATAAACAAAAAAGTAACACAGAAGACTTAAAGAACAACGAACAGCTTAGTAAACCTTCAAAGGCTTAACAGCCCCATGGTGAGATAAAACAATTTTCACAAATTTTCTTTTACTAAAGTTTTTTTTTAATAATCCCATTAGCCACTTTGTTGTAAAAAGTAAGTAAAGTAAAGGCCCTCCCGTTGATCATCGATTTGCTCCAGCCAGCCCAGTAACGTCTCCATTGGAGACTTTGTTGTTACTGTGTTTGGCATATCGAATACATCACAGGTAGCTTGCCAGGCTCTGCCGTGCGGGCGAGATACTCTCGGTAGCTTGCCAGGCTCTCCAAGAGGGGTGGAGGAATTGAACCAGGGTTGGCCAGGCCGGCTGCGTGCAAGGCAAACGCCCTACCGCTGTGCTATCGCTCCAGCCACTTTGTTGTAGCACACAATATAAAATAAATTATTTTGTGCTTGGTAAGGGAGCAGGTCTGGGTGGTGAAACTGGGAACAACGGTGGAAGGAAAGTCACACTGGTGGTGGGATTGGAGTTGGAACACTGAATGCCACTAACTGTATTATGAACAGCATTATAAACCACTGTGTTTGAAGAAAGTAAAAAATAAAAAAAAAAAAGGAAAACATCACATTAGTGGTATCAACAATTTCACTCCCCTAGCATAAAAGGAGTACTTTGGCAAGGATTTGAAAACCACAAGGATTTGGAATGTGCATGGCTAGCAGTTAGACTTAGCTTTATCTAGGTATCACTGTTTCAAATTTGACACAGCCTGGGGCTTCTCAAAAAACTTTCTTGATTATTACATCATCTTCTTAATGATCTAGAAATTTGGGAGGGATTTACAGCACATTTAGGAATCTCAGATATAAAAGCCAAAATTTCAGAGCTTTCTCATTTACATTATAAACTTCTGTAGATAAAGTTGATAATTTCTTTGGGGAGGGATTTAAGATTTCCCTAGCTAGCCACCTTACCAGAAACCTCTGCCGACCTGAAAAATTATGTTCTTCTTTGCCTCTTTGCTCCGGGTCAAGAATATGGTGAGAAGTTTTAAATGAGTGAATACATGCCAATTTCTAAGATTATCAAGCACAGCGGGTAGGGCGTTCGCCTTACAAGCGGCCAACATGGCCGACCCAAGTTCGATTCCTCCGCCCCTCTCGGAGAGCCCGGCAAGCTACCGAGAGTATTCGATATGCCAGACACAGTAACAACAAAGTCTCCAATGGAGACATTACTGGGCCCGCTCGAGCAAATCGACGATCAACGGGAGGGCCTTTACCTTTACCTTTACCTTTATCATTGGACACTCAGGT